TTTTTTAGTTTAATAACATACTACAAGTAAAAACACTGAACAGTTGTGAAATGGTAAAAAAATAAAGTTTGAAACACATTATCTACCAGCTAGTAGTCAATACCAGGCAAACGGAAAAAAATCACTACACTGCAGATTTGTACAGTTTAATAACTATAAATACAATTTTATTTTGCTGTGTTCAGGACGTTTATGGGCGTCAGCAAAGAGCCTTTGGGCCCAATGTGTGGGTCTAACCCCCTGCTAATTACCAGGGTGTGCAGCTCGATCAGTTAACAACAATAATTTGCCTACAGAAAGGTCCTAAACTTATCTGTGGTTAGCATTCCTTATGTCCTTGATAAGTCTTCCAAGTACACCATGTTTATAGGTTCTTGCTAACCAGTAGGTCCACTCTATGAAGGAGAGCTGTTTTTTTAAAGTTTTCTCAGAACGATTCCCCCGCATACGCCAAACTTCCCTCTTGTATGTCTGCCATGCTCTCTCAATATTTTGTGTATGTAGTCCTGTTTGTGGATCAACATAATTCTGGCTGTGGTTGACCCTGACATGCCTGTAGCCCTCCTGGGAAAGACTGGCATATGCTCTCCACTCATCACTCACAACAAGACTTTGAGGCTTGACATGCTTCTTGATGATGGGAACAAGGGTCTCCTTGTTTCTTCTCTTTACAAGGCGAAGAATGGGACGTCTGCTTGCAGCTTTGATCTCTAGTATACCAAACACCCAAGATCTCTTTCTTCTCCAGGTGTTACCAAAGCGTCCTCTTCCATACTACCAAAAAACAGTATAAAAAAGTTTTTTTTAAAACAGTGTGAACATTATTACAACATGAATTTGTGCTTTTATTTTTGTCACTATGACCACATTAGGAACCAGAAAATCTTGACTGAAAATGATTGAAAACAATTACCAAATCTTGTGACACTGCAATGCAATTCAATCAATCAATCAATGTTTATTTATATAGCCCAATATCACAAATGTTACATTTGTCTCAGTGGACTTCACAGTTTGTACAGAATATCAGTATGACAATACGACACCCTCTGTCCTTAGACCCTCACATCGTACAAGGAAACACTTCCAGAGAAAACCCACAATTTAGTCTTGACTCTGGCTTTGTGTGAATATTGAATTATTTATTCATTATGTATGTAATGTTTGAGTTAGGAACACCTGTTCCTGTTTTATTTGACTAATATATAAGATAAATACAGAAGCCTAATGCATTCACCCGAGAAAAAAAGGTTTTTCACGAGAACTTTTCCTGGAATTCTGAGATAATAATCTTGTAAATTAATAAAAACAGAAACATTTTATTTCTCACGTGTATGCATTACGCTTCCGTAAATAAACCTTCTTTAGGTTAAACAAATACAATAAAATAAACTTTCCTAAAATGAGTATTTCACATAATCACATTTTTCATCAATGTTTTTTATTAACTGATTGACAACTTTAGGGAGAGTGATATTCATTTCTGCCATTTATTTTGTATATCCCATCTATGACTCTCCCCTCCCACCCACTCTCTATATCTATCCTAATGATTCACATAATGATGTAAGCTCTTTGAGGTTATAGAAAATGTAACACATTTAGTCAAGTGTATTGCACATTTAAATTATATTACCTTGCGTTTGTGGCAGAATTTGCTCTCATCAATGTGGACAAGGACATTAACTCCACCGACTTTCTGCTTCTTTTTCTTTTGGTGCTTTCCCAGGCTTTTTACACAGATTCTTCTGAGTTTCTTTGACATCATGGAAAGTGTTGCTGAGCTCTTTGCAATGCCATCTTGAAGCATGTCAACTTGCCGTAGATGCAAACCCTGGGCAAATCTATCAAGGATTAACACAAATAATGAAATAAGGACAGTGCATTTCCAAAAGAAGAAAACATTTATTTGATCAAGCTATAAGTCACGAAGCATCATTTATACCGAGTATATTGTATTTGGGCCATTAGTTTTTTAACTAGCATCAATAACAAGCCAGCCTGTCAATCAACCATCCTGTACATGGCTGACTAAAACTGATGCTCATTGCAACACAGTGTCACATCAATCAATCAATCAATGTTTATTTATATAGCCCAATATCACAAATGTTACATTTGTCTCAGTGGACTTTACAGTTTGTACAAAATATCAGTATGACAATACGACACCCTCTGTCCTTAGACCCTCTGTCCTTAGACCCTCTGTCCTTAGACCCTCACATCGTACAAGGAAAAACTTCCAGAGAAAACCCACAGTTTAAAGGGGAAAATGGGAGAAACCTCAGGGAGAGCAACAGAGGAGGGATCCCTCTCCCAGGACGGACAGACGTGCAATAGATGCCGTGTGTAAATTGAAAAGATAATACATTTGCAACATAGATAGTCCATCTGGTTGTATAGATAGAATCACCACCATACTCTTCTGTCAGAAGCCCAAACTTATGATTTATAAGAAATCCTAATGCTTGAAAGCAGAACAAAATAATACTTAAGAGCAGAAAAACTAAATATGGTCAACTTATAACATGATGAAATTAGCAAGAGCCAAAAGTAACGTCAGAGAGTTTTTTTGTTACTGTAACATATCTGGCCAATCAAGGCAGGTTATATGACAGGATATGCTCTTGTAATATTCTTTCAGATTGACCATAAATCCATGCCACCATACATTATGATAACAGCAATTTATCAAATACTGTAATAAGATAATACCTTTGCATTGCTTACCTATGGATGTACTTCATCCATGCGAATAAACTGCAGTGTGATTGTGAGAAAAGTGACTTTGTCCTAACACTTCTCCTCAAACGTCCACATCTTTTACGTCGGCATTCCCTGTAAATTGCAGGACATCAAATTGTATGATAAACTGAACATTTTCTATGTGTGTGTTACGCACACATACACACACTAAATTGGATATATAATGTATTCAAATAACAGCAGCTGATGTAAAAACCATGATGTTTATGCAAGTAAGCCTAGTTCATGTCAGTGTCATTATCTATACTATACGCTGAAATAAATATGTTGTAACATTAGCTAGCTAGCTACTTGTCTAAATGGTATCTTGCCTCCATGGGTAGCTGAGGGAGAGAGAACAAAACTGTACATCCTAGAGGCCTCCTCACACTTGATATCTTCATTTTGTCCATACACAATCCCCACATGTTACTATTTGGTATTACAGCACTTGAAGTTAATTGACAAGGGCATTGACATTTGTGCATATTTCTTGTAGGTGTGTTACAAAATAACAAAAATGTGCCAAGAAAACAATGTACCGTCATAGACATTAATTTGTGAATTGCTTATCCGGGCCTTCTGGTTCCTTCCTATAGCAATCCATGGTTCTGTGTGAACATGCCCTCTAGTTAAGCTAACTTAATGCTTAATATTAGCAAACAATGTAGCAGAAGAATGTCCTATTCCTACCTACAGCCGATTGCATAACAAAATATGGGGCCCTTTAGTTTGCAAGCATTTTATTCTTACCAGATGTGATGGTCCTTGGTCTGGGAGGAGACCATCTTCATTTTGTGGCGGCAGTTTTTGCATTTCAATTTGCGTTTCATCAAACCAATTGTTTGCAACCATTTTATTAATTTTAAAGTTCATTTTTTTGTTTCTTTAACATAAACTGTTCTCATAAGTTTTCTCTCCAGTGAAGCCATCGGACCGAGCTAGTCAATGTATATATTTTAGAGATGGGCGAGTCATGATTCATCCGGATCATTAACCCGGATCCTAGTAATGAGCCGGTCGTGACGAGTCTCCCTCTCGATTAACCCGAGTCCTTTGAGTCCTACACCTGATGTGACGTAACAATTAAAACTATAAATTGCGTCACTCTTTACTCTCTTTATAACGTGTACAATCACATTACAACGTTGTTGTATCCAGAGATCCAGCAGACTCGTCGCCATGCACGAATCAACAGCAAATTCAGCCCCTCCTCCGGCTCCCGCGAGAGTCCCGTGAGCCGTGAGTGAGCCGTGAGTCGTTGGACTCGCGGGAGCCGTGAGTGAGCCGTGAGCCGTGAGTGAGCCGTGAGTGAGCCGTGAGTCCGCAAATCTCTGAGTCTGCTGCGACTCGTCGAGGGAGCCGTGGGACTCGCGGGAGCCGTGGGACTCGCGGGAGCCGTGCGAGCCGGAGGAGGGGCTGAGTCTGCTGTAGATTCGTGCATGGGGACGAGTCTGCTGGATCTCTGGATCTGCTGCCTGCTATAAGTTACGGCTCTGAGTCCTCGTAGGCTACTGGTCTCTCTCGATCATTGACCTGGATTCACGGATCCCGCGATTTTCCCGGCTCTAAATTAAGTTTCAGTGTAGACTTCTAACAAAATGGTTATGTTGTGCAACAGTCTCCTGTAATAATATCTGCATTTCCAATAAGGATCTTACTTGGAAACTCGTTTATTTTGAACATGGCACACAAAAAGAAACAAATGATAGAAAATTGCAAAACAGTTAGAATATATAAAATGTAATTATACAATTATTATTATTATTATTATTATTATTATTATTATTATTATTATTATTATTATTATTATTATTATTAAATGAAAACACAATTGTGCAAAATTAGCTTAAGTACAGGAACATATTAAAATAACTATATACATATAATGCAAAACACTTATTTTTTAAAATGCACACACATGTTTTATTAAAGCAAAAGACACTGTGTAGCGGAGGTTAATGTAACGTTAGTTTAATATGCTGGTTAAATGCAACAACTTTTCGGTTTCACCGGTAGGATTTCTACGGTCTTGGTCATGCTGACTCATATGACTCAAATGACTCGTATGATCCGGATCTCTTCAATGATTGACTCAGAAGACTCCGAGTCCATAAAATGATCCGGATTTGCCATCTCTAATATATTTATCTACCAGACATCCCAAAAATGCAAAACTGGCGCACTTTAATTTAATTGGCTGGAGAACTTATGGGATACGCTTGATTTATATATAAACACCTCCCGGGACCAGCGTTATATGTACAGTCTATCTATGGTGTTGGCAGAGTTGACACGTGACTAAATTATATTCACCAAGCACTTCTACCAGCGCCATACTTCTACTGCCTGATTGGTCTACTGCGCAAGTGCGCCCTTGGATTTCAGATGTTTTGGTCGTCGAGATGGTAAGTGTCAACTTCCTTAGGTAACATTGTCTTTTTTTTAGAAAGCATTCCTTATTACTTGCATGTGAACCAATATTGCTATCTCACTTTTATTTTCAGCATCGACATGGCATTTTTGCTCAGGTGCATTCAGTAACCCGCCCCTCATCTGACAACGGGAGCAGTGCCGTTGGTCCCGTGCATTGTACCCGCGCAAAGTCACGGAGAGAGATTAATGAGGCAGTAGAAGGAGGCGATACCATACAAGAAAGTGGTAAGTTGGGTTTATAAATGTCAAAGTAGTTGACGTTTGTGTGCTAACTTCACACTCTAGATATGCGAACTATCCTGACAAACTACCACTAACTTTATTAGCCATGTTAAATAACCGATATGCATGTTTAAGTTAACATGCATATCGGTAAGGTTAACATTGTTAACCTTTCCTACCAGCAAAGCTAACGACGTATAGCCATAGACACGGTCTTAGGAAAAAGCTAATATAACAACTAAAGTTATCCTTACTGGAGCAGCAGGGCTAGCGGTTCATATAGAAGGTTCCTTGGTAGCTCAAACAGAATGCTAGCTAAAATGCTTAGTTTGAATCTTCTCCTTAATGAGACCCGCAGGATCGCGACCGACTTTACTGTCTTTAAGCGGCTGTACCGGGCTCGGTTTTGAAACTGGTAATGATGATATCATATGAAAGTAGATGACCTAATGGAATACAATGGTACCAACCACGTGATGCTAGCTTGTCGGCAATGGGGCTAAAAAACATTCTACATTTTGGAGGGAAAAACTGACATGGCAATTTCCACAGGGGTTTCCTTGACATCTAACTTCAAGATACCTGTATGAAAATGGGTTCTATGAGTACCCACGAGTCTCCCCTTTACAGACATAGGCCTACCCACTTTATGATAATCACATGCAGTTTTGGGCAAAAAACGTTTTTTACATGCAGTATAATGTGTTAATTACGCCTTTTCATAATGGTGTATTTCAATATTTCTGCATATTGGGGGCCCTATACAGTCTTGGAATTGCATTAATTGGGTTAGACTGTAAAGCGGAGACTCTTGTGTATCCAATGAGCTCAATTGTATGAATGTGTGATGATGTTAGTCCCCATAGTAGTCATTTCATAGTGAGACCATGTTTTGAAACTTGACATCAATGTATAAAATGAGATGTTGTGACATCTAGGATAATCACAGCCTCATGAAACTGTTCAACCACAAACTAGAGACATTTAGAGAATGTGTAGCTTTCCTAGGTATATTGACAATAAGGGGGTTTCTGAGCAGTTCCAGAACAGAAGTACTCAAACATGTGAAACGTTTTTCATACCAAATCATCCCCTTAGCCTTCTGACATGTATTCCTAATTTGTCATGTCCTATTTTGCAGCTGGTAACGTGGAAAGTAGTATGCCTGTCAAGCAGCATATTGCATGGAGAAAGAAGGCTGAGATGCTCCAGTCTCGGGTGGATGAACTAGAGGAGGAAAATGGCATACTCAAGCAGCAGCTTGAGGACAATAACTCTATACAAGAGCAAGGTTTGTACAGGTGGAGCAAAGTTTTACATTAGGGCTCTCCAGAACCTGTGTGGCTTCAAAAATAATTATGGCGCAGTATACCACAACAGTATTTCAGCTATTATTGAATATTATTGGCAGCCTTTCAATATTATTTTTTCTCAAGTAACTATTTTTGATTTGGCCTTATATTTTTACATTTAGTGCATGTAGATATTTAGCTGGACAATGTGTAGGGTCACTAATGGCGTGTGTCCATATAGCGTTTTTCACTGAAAGAAAACTTCTGGCAGGGCGCTTGGGAGCACTTCATTTGTTTTTATGACAGTATCTTGACAGCATATCATCGCCCCTTTGCTTTTACCTATTTGGGCTACTATCAATTGCATTTAAAACTGTATAGCCTCCTATTGGCTGCTGCTTTATGTGCATCTTTTGAATTGCAAACAAAAATGGCTGCCAAGCCATCTATTTTTTTATTTTTTTATCAGGGACAGTGCACATTGATAAACATTACTGTAAATATGCCAGAGTTAGCCAAGAGGCTATTTTTCATCCGTAGTCCCTGGACATGTACTTTCTACATTTATAGGTCTCTGCTCAGTGTTATACAAAGGGGTTTGTAGTTTGTTCTTGATATTCAGGCAGAGTACTGCAAATGTATTTTGCGTTATAAATCATACTCTTGAAATGTTCAACAAAAATATTAAAAACAATTTAACAGAGAAAATACAAATTCCCAGGGAATTCATGTCTCTTATTTGGGCTATAGTATTTACAATATTTCAGCTATTGTTGTCATTTTTAAGGAATTCCTTTAGGAATTTAATTAACTTCACTTGTGTATAGGCTGTTGACTGCTGCCTTGTCATAGCATATTGGCTCTCCATTTAAAGATGAATTGGCTTAGACCACATGAGCACTAATTGATTGGAATTCATGGAAATACACTAATAGTGATAGAAACATTCTACACAATGCAGTTTGAAAGTAGCAGACTAATGCATTTTCTCATACACAACTCCTTTTTGTATATATAAAACACAAGACATCCCATCTAAAGTTTTGTGCACATTATTTGTACTTCTGCAATGTTTCTTCATACCCAATCTAACCTCCACCGCATCAATTAGTATGCAATTCAGTTCATGTACAACCTCAAACCGCCTTAGGTTATCAGTTGCTCAAGCTCAGTCACACCAATGTAATTCTGTAATGTTGTATATTGTGATAAAAGCAGACTCCTCTGGGCTTTAGGCAAATCCTTGTGGGGACTCAACTTAAAGTTTATTTCTGTTTGTCATTTATCATTCATCAACAGATGGGAACTGGGAAGTAATGGCCACTGGAGATAAGGAGCCGGAGCCCATGAGGTTGGACTCCAGCACGGATTCCAGCAACGATTCCAGCACTGACTCCAGCACTGACTCAAGCTCTACCTCTGACTCTTCTGATGAGGGAAAGAAGAAAAAGAAGCAGAAGAAGAAAGGCAAGAAGGAAAGCAAAAAAAGGAAGAAGGAAAACAAAAAGGCGAAGACGTCAAAAGGAAAAGGAGAGCGAGGTATAATAAACTAAGACACCTGCTGAATGTATTTAGGTGTTAGGTAATTAGGTTATTATTGTGAGCTTAGTGCTTTATACTGGGTTTGGGTTGGGGCATACAATCCCATTGACCAATCATCATCACTCTTATCACCAATGTACTCTTCATCGTGCCGGAGTGGTTGGGGTGTAGGTTGAATGAACTAAAATAGAGACACACCACATGCTTACTAGAGGTGTGAATCTTCACTGGCCTCACGATTCAATTTGAATACGATTCACCTGTCAACGATTCAAATTCCCAACGATCCTCGATGCATCTCAATGTATTGCATCCTCAATTTTCTATATTACTGCACATAGCAAAACATGTTATCAATTAATACAAGCAGTCAGATAAATCTGAACTCCCTTTTTTATTTAGAACGTGCTTTCAAAGATCTGACTGTACAGACTTTAATATAAAAGCTTCTTTTCAATACCAGTATCTGTGTGAGCCACCTCACATAAACTTAATAAAAACAAAACTTAAATAATTCTGCAGTGCATTACAAGTGTGTTGTAATCTACAAAAATAAGGTTTTCACATAGAAGCTCAGTGTTTCCCTAGGCTGACTGCTTTGGGGGGTGAATGGGCAGGGAGATAACTTTTCAGATTATTCCGACATGTGAATGCAGCACAAAGTCGATGGCATTTACACTGCCTAGCAGCTACAGACCTTCCCTTACTCATAGTTCTTCTACTATGCAATATCTATGAGCGCACAGCGGACGTTTGATTCTGCAAGGAAGTGCAACCAAACAAAAAGTTGGAGATATTTAAACTTTTAGTGGCGAAGCGCAGCCAGAGAGTACCCGCAGCCAATCAGTAAACAGAGTCCTGACATGTTGACCTATGTTATAAAGAATTTCTTGTCGCCTGAAACACATGAACACGCCTCAGAAAAATGTCATCATTGTGGCGATCTGCTCTTCGCAGCTGCCTGATGTGAATTTGGCATAACAGAGCAGCTGTTATTGGTAGTGAGAGCAACAAGTTAGTGGACTGCAGATCGTTTGAATGCCGCCTCACACCTCCGCACACACAGACACCCCGTGTGTGCGGAGGTGAGAGGCGGCATTCAAAGTGTAAAGCTCTGCCCTCGTTGAAACAGAGATCAGAGGAGAGGAGAGAAAATAGCGCAACAGAAAATGACAGCAGAACGCAGTAAGACTCTCACTAAGCTGATATGAAACCAAACTCCTGATTATGTTCCGTCACTGCATCGATGCAGAATCGTACATCGCGATGCATCTTATAAATGGAGAAATGTCCACACCTCTAATGCTCATCTACTATGGCTGTTTGAGCTGAACCTGTAATGAATAATGAAATATAAATAATGTTCTCACCAGTTTTTTACCACCAATATGTTTTTTATCAATAAATAGCCAATTATCTAACTAGATTTGCACACTGCACATACAGGCACACTACCTAGTACCTACTATAAAATACAACACATGTTCTAAAACAAACGGGAAGTCACACACATTCATCCAAGTTGTAGTCCCTTTTCAAGAGAAAATATGTGAGAAACACTATGGCTCACCCTGCAACTAAGACATTGCACACAATACACACCACAACAATTATTGGGGGGGCCATAACATTTATTGACATTAATGTATTCTTTATTTTTCAGTGTCTTCCATCTCAGATGTGGTGGGAAGATATCGGCGTGTCCTTAGACTGGTGCAGAGAGGCTTCAAGATGACCAAAGCTTTTAAGAAAGCTCATGTTTCCAGGAATGCTGTGAAAGACACTGCAGCAATTGCTGAAGTATTCCTGGTGGACAAAAGTGTCCTAGACCAGTTTAAGGGTAAAAACACACTTTTAAAATTAGCCCAACTCTGTCAGAAGAAAATAGTCGGTGAACTGGCAGAAAAGATTGCTGAAATGAAAAGCAACAAACAGCTCATCCCCTTTTCTGTCAGGTAATTCTGAATGTGGGTTGAGCGTTGTTGTGGGGGGTGTCACTACCCGATCTGCAGTGTGCATGTGCGAGATGGTCCGCCATATTGGATAACTCCGGATGGCAACCGACGGCAACCCAAGTAGGACAACATTGACACAGTGGCTTTTGGCAAAGCTCAAAAGGAAAACTCGAGAGAGATGAGTTATTGTTATTACAACGTGACTTCACTATTATTTAACAACTCTTTTATATTGGGTTCTTTTATTGGGGTTAAGTACATTGTCAGAATAAGTGAGGAATTAATTTAACTTCTGTTAGACAGCTATCATACTGAATACATATTGACTGTGAATGTATGCAAACATGTTTGGCATATAGCTGTCTAACAGAAGTTAAATTAACTTCTCACTTATTCTGACAATGTGCTTAACCCCAAATAAAAGAACCCAATAAAAAGAGTTGTTAAATAATAGTGAAGTCACGTTGTAATAACAATAACTCATCTCTCTCGAGTTTTATTTTTGAGCTTTGCAAAAAGCCACTGTGTCAAGTGTCCATCTTGGGTTGCCGTCCGGAGTTGTTCAATATGGCGGACCATCTCGCACATGCGCACTGCAGATCGGGCAGAGCTGCAGATCGGGTAGTGACAGGGGGGACGGTTTTTCATTTTGGGAAGCTACTTTGGGGAAGTGTTTTGGCGACCTGTTAATGATTATGTTTAGATGTCCTTTAGTAGGATTGAATGTGGTTCACAACTGTTCAGTGCTTTTACTTGTAGTATGTTATTAAAATAAAAAAGCTTTCTTTCTCTGATATGCTGTGTATAGTGTTTGTTCTACTGTGCTTTATAACCTGGTATTGACTTCAGTTATCCAGTGTTCGTGATCAGTTGTGCAAAACATTTCGCTTTATTCCCCATGTCTGTTGCATATAATTAGTGGATGAATGTATGTGTTCTGTTGATAGGTTATAGACTTTCTACTGTTCTCAACTGTTTTTCACTTTAATTGGATAGTCCCTAACACATGCCTACAAACACTTAGTGGAGAAACCTACTAAAAGTATACTAATAGTCAACTCTAGATTAGTTGACGATCAACAGATAGTCAACTAAACTCTAAAGTTGCCTTATCTGTTGATCATCAACTAATGCTTAATGTAATAGTCAACTGAACTTTAGTTGCTTATCTGTTGATCATCAACTAATGCTTAATGTAATAGTCAACTGAACTTTAGTTGCTTATCTGTTGATCATCAACTAATGCTTAGTTACTTGTCGGTTTGAACGGTGCTGTTGAATGTCAACTGACACATGTCAACTGATGCACTGTTGACATGCTACTAAATGTCAACTGATGACTTATAGAGTATTAACTATGGACTATCAAAATAAAGTGTTACCAGAAGATGTATAACACATAACTCTGTGAACCCCTCAATATGTCACTTTATTTTAAAAGTTTAAATACTCAGATTTTGAAGTACTCAATTACAAGTAACAGACCTTAATTGAACATTTGGCTTGAAGTACAGAAGTATTATCACCAACAACTACTTCAAGTATCAGACACAAACATTTTTAGTTATTATGTTATATCACCAACATGCAAAACCTGTGTTTTTTCAATGTGGAGCCAATATTAGAAACTTTTGTGAAATACTGGGTTGTATTAGAAGTATATTACTGCAAAAGTATATTATCTGTTGTTATATAAAAAAGGAATGGAAAATACTCAAGTAAGGTAGCATTATGTAAAAGTAGCTTGAGTACAATATGAGGTAAACGTAGTTTTGTGACTTTCCACCACTGTATATAACTAACTATATAACTAAGCCCTCAACATACTCTATCAAGGTTAACTCACTTCTGCTTTTACAAATATTGGGTTAGGGTTAGGAATCTACACAATCTCAAAGAAACACATGTGAAGCAAGTGCTCCAAGTTCAGTTAATATCTAGCACGCTTAATGCAACCCGGCAGTGGCGGACTGGTCATCGGGACGCGTCCCGATGGGCCGGTACTGAAGTGGGCCGGTCGGACGATGCGGGCCGGTCGAATAAGTCACTAGCACCCCCCCCCGCCGACAAATTTACTAGCGGTATTACTTACTTGCGGTACCGAGGTGGGCCGGTCGGATAAGTCACTAGCGCACCCCCCCGTCGACAATTACTAGCGGTATTGACTTGCGGTACTGAGGTGGGCCGGTCGAGAGTCCTGGGCTGATATTTAGTCCCAGTCCGTCCCCGCAACCCGGTATCACGGCAACACGTTGCACATTTACCATGGGAGACGTGAAGATGTCACGATTTCGTCCCTTCAAACGTGACAGTTACACGGTATTGTTAACATGGGCCAACCAGTGGAGAAATACTAGAAATGCCAAGCAAATGCTCTACACCGACGGTCGGTTGTTATTGTTATTTATTGTTCATTATTTATTTTTTAATAGTCACACTCGATTTTGCCGATTTTCTTGTTGCCCCAGCTGGTTGACACCTCTTTTAGCATAAACAAAGGCTACATTAATGTATTAAATCGATGTTAATCCATGTGTGTGGTTGTGGAATTAACGGACGTGACGTTGTGCGATTGCGTTGCCAGGCAACAGCTTGGGTTCATGTTAATTTACAAACTCTTCAACTACAACCCTAGTTATATTTAAAAACATTTTAGAAGGCCTCACAAAATACTTTAATGTAAATTAAAATTAAAATGAGAAGGAATGTGTGTATAACAAAATACATCCGTCATAAACAATACCGGAAACAGACGTAGGCAAGATCCTCAGCTCGGTGATTCGATGTTTTAGCCGCAATGCACGCTGGGATATGGTGTTTATGCAACACATTCTCACTCCCAACTCGGCCTATGTTGACGTTATGTCAGGGTCCCCGTCATCACTTTCCAACGCAAGGGGGGGGCCCTTTAGCGTCGAGTTTCAACTATCAGGGA